GGTCATGTCACCTGGTTAGTCATAAGCAGGCAGGTGAGGAACAGAAACCCAGGCCCACCCAAGGCCATAGCCACAGTGATCCCAGGCTTTGGGGTTTTGCCCAGGTTTGTCCAACTTCCAAACACAACACAACACTTCCATCCTACTGTGCCTAGGTTCACCTTTACCTAAGTCTTGTCCTCACAGGGCAAAGAAGAAATAACGAGAGTTTGTATTTCCTTAAAGGTCGCATCACTGATCTGCCATCCCAGGGACACACACTTGCATTCTGGCTCCTCCTACCTCTTTCTTATATTTTCCTCCAAAGAGATTTTGGACTTACCCAAAAACATTCAGAGAACCAAAGCCGCAGAACACAGGCCTTCTGGGGCTCGTGGACAGTTTGCCAACACAATTCACACCCTCCATTGCCCTGCGCATCCCCTTGTGGTGGAAGGAATACTCCTGTTCTGGATAGAGGGGTGTGTATGTGGCAAGATGGGAGAAGGAGAGAGAATTGAGAGAGAGGAAGAAAGAGAAACACTAGCTGGTCCTGCGAAGCAACACTTGGCAGCCTAGAGTCTCGGTGCCCTTTGTCACCATGGCAACTGTGGTGGGCTGACAGGGATGGGGAACCAGAGAATCCACAGGAGAAAACCAACCTGGGCAGGGGGCACCTAAGGGTTCCCACCTGCTGGCCTGCAACAGTGGCTCTGCCACTCACCCAAGCCTTCACTTAGCACAGGGGCAGGGACTCTGTAAGTGGAGGGATAACAGGAGCTACAGCAATGCTGCTGGTGTAGCAAAGGTGAACAGGCTAGACACACAACCTCATCACAAATGATGGGCTCAAACGTCTAAGATCAGTATACTTCATCTCCATATGGACCTCAGAGGAAAGGCTACTGATGCACAATGTGGGCATGAAGATAGCCAAGGAGGATTCCAGTTTCCCCCTTATACGTCGTAGTGACTGCATCTCTGTGACATCGCATCACACTGGACCAGGCGAGGCTGTGATGGACGCAGAGGTGGTCTCTCCCCAATTCGGTGCATGTGCATACATGTTCCACTTTCTTCTTCCCATACTCCACATTCTCCTTGATCTCCACCCCAGAACCCCTTCCCTCACATCCCTTATCACCTTTGGGGAAGGGTGCTGATTCGGACTTCCTTATAAGACTAAGTCAAAGCCCATGTGTGTCTGTTGCAATTTTAGAACGTCATGACTGGAATTTTGAGGGACTTCTTTGTGGGGTGCAGGGTGTGGCCCACTGCCTCCGAAGCTGTTTTGCTGTAATCCAGGCTCAAACACCCTGGTTGCTTCTTCCAGGCTGTTCTGCGTCACATCTGTTCAAGAGCAGCTGTTTAGGCTGCTGTGCCAATCAAAAGCCTGTGCCTGCTCCAAAGCTCTAGCACTCTAAAAATGGCAAAAGCTTTCTTTTAAATACAGAATCAGGAATAACATTTCTAAAAGGAATTTATTTTGACCCTGCTGACATTCTAGTGCAGAAGCAAAACTTGATTTGAGAAATTCACAAGGACATAGTACAAAAGTCTCCCCTGTGTGGATTTCAGAATTATTTCTGTGGTATTGCAGACTGTATGACATGTATAAGATGCTTTGTTATGAAGTTATACAGAAAAAAAACCCCTTTTTCCTCAGTGGGATTTTTTTGAACAAAAAAAATGTCTGTGAGTTATACATCTTCTCTCCTCCGTCCCTCTCTGCTCTCCCTCTTCCCCCTGCTCCTCTTTCTTCACCTAAGTACCAGCACCCAGCCATGTACTTAGCTAGCTGGTTATTCCTTCTTGGGACTGATATGCTGGTAAATTGAGCCATGTCTTGACAGTCTAGGGGGGCCTGGCTCCCACACAGTCGCTGTCTCGTTATAGTTAAAGGTACACTTGTCAAACCAAACCAAGCTGCAGGAGACGGTGTGCATCGTCTCAGCATGACTTCCTGGTGACTTTAATTCCCATGGGGATGATGTTTTCCCTTCTTAGGTTAGAAAGAGGTGAAATATGACCTGCAATCTGTATGTCTGGATGAACCTTAAACTGAACATAATTAGAGCACCTGACTCCTTAGGTTGCAGGAAGGTTGAAAAGGGCTATCTATAGCACAGGGCCCGGGCTTGGCAACACTACCTCAACATTAGCAGCTACCATTCTCACTCCCAGGTTCATGCCAAGCATAGGGAATACCTTCGCCACATGGGCTCTGCTTTGTTTGAGCTGCACATACACCCTTCTTCTAATAATGCAGTTGGCAGCCTGGACCCTCACCTGCACGGACTACGCACACACACACACACACACACACACACACACACACACACACACACACATCTCTCCAAACAATACACCTAGAAACCTGTTCACAAGCCAAACTCCTTTGCTTAAACCCCATAAAAAGCTCCCCCAAATAACTGAGGCGCTTGAATATTCTCACTCATGTAGCCTGCTGTTACTTTTTGTATTAATAAAAATATTTTACTGAATTTCAGGAACTTGACACTTTTAAAATATCCCGAATCTTTCACGCAGATCAAAACAGAATCCGATTTTATTTTTTAATTAATTAGCTAATTAATTATTTTGAGATAGAGTTTCTCCGTGTAGCCTTGGCTGTCCTGGAACTTGCTCCGTAGACCTGGTTTGACTTTAACTCACAGAGATCCATTGACTCCGGAGCGCTCTGACTCCAGCATATGCGACTTCTGCCCTGCCCTATTTATTTTTTCAGTGATTCAGTGGCAGTGGTGATCCTGAGGATCACAGGGAAGCAATGGGGAATGACAGACGAGAATGGGAATCTAGGCTTTGCTGTATCCTAGCTGTGCACTGCCTGCCTTCTCACAGGACACCAGATACTCTGTGCAGTGCCCTCTGAGGATGGAGTCTTGCTGACGGGTACAAGAGCTGGGCTGTGACTGATCCCTTCCCCAGAACCAAATCTTTTGGTCACTGTAGAGTCAGAGCTGCTGAGAGACACCTGGTAATTAAACCACTCCACTTTCCTTCCCAGCTCCCATGCTGACCCGGGGGTCATTGCCATCACATCTCTCACAGGCAGCGTGCCTCCATTTCATCAAGTCTCTGCTAGGGCCTCCTTAAAATCGTGTGTGTCACTTTCCATACTTAAAGGACTGGTCTCCTCTCCCCCTCTGTTTGGTTACTTTTATGGGTAACTTATTTCAGAACAAGTTCAGATGTCTTGTTGCCTTTGGTGGATTCTGGGGAAGGGGTCATTTCTAGGTCTGCCTGTGCCTGGTTCTTTTTTCTTTTCTGGTGTCACAGAGGTGTAGGAGAGGAGCTGAAAATTGCTTTAAAACGGTGACATTTGCTTGATCATACAGATAATGTATGACATCAATGCTCTGCTTCCTGAAATAGAAGGCAAAGGCTAAAGCAGGCTCAAGCTTAGAGTGCAGCATCCGTGTTCCCCGTTTCACCACCCTCAGGCCCCACCTGCCTCCAGCCATTTCCCACTGACCCCTAGCCAGAGGCTGTGCGACACCAAACATGGATGTTTTGCCTTGGCTCCATGCTGATGCTCATTTTTAACTTCTTTTCCGATTCTGTCACCATGTGCAATCACAGTAACATGTTAACATCTTCCCAGATGGCCAGTGATGACACCCAATCGGACTAGAGAAGGATTAGAACTTTAAAATATCCAGAGAAGACTCTAGGCATGTCAAAACAGAATGTTCTCTAATAAGAGAGACCAAAATGGCTAGATAAATTCACAATTCTCGCTTTTTCAAATCCAGTGGTTCCTACCCCCAGAATTCCTATTTTGGGAGAGGGAACACCTGAGGGAAATTCTCAAGTGATAATTTTTAAGGAGGCAATATTATCAGAAAGGCAGAGAGCATCTCCAGGACAGCAGATTCAAAGCTGGTGGCTTATGTTGAGATGTTTGTGTCTGTGGCAATTGTGGCAAGTGCTGGTCCATGTCAATGGAAGCATAATCCAAACAGCTGAAGAATAGCTTCTCATTTCTAGTCCTCTAGAGTCGGGGCTGAGAGTGGGATTAAGGAGCCTGACCTGGCATGGGACAGGACTCGAAGCTAGCCTGGAACCCTGGAACCTATGGGTGAACAACACAAACAACTCTGTGTGTGATTGACAAGGAGCACGAGCTTCCTACGGGAGCTTCAATGAAGGTCAGTCTTGGAAACTGCCAATTAAGAGAAAGCAGGACCCATGTCGCTGAAGCTTCTGGAACCCAGAACTCCTGGGCATATTCCACCATCTGGCCCACTTTCCCACAATTCCCAGTGGCTGAAAGAGTTCTATGTAGGGAAGGATAATTAAGAAGTAAAACATCTCAGTCCATTTGTCTCCAGTAAGACCTGCTTTCCTACTCTTGAGAATAGCATAATGCAGGAAGAAAGCACAGATGCCTTACTTCATAAACAGGGCATCCTTGGGATATATTTTGTTGTAATTTATCACTGAAAGTTTAAATGTATCTTAAAGTGTAAATATTGATGCACTGCAATATTTGGTATTCTACATAAGACCCATGGACCAAATAAAAGACAGCACATACAGTTCCTTAGCTATGGGATTATAACCCGAGGCCATAGCCTGTGACACCAGGCTCCAAAAGAACTGAGAGTTCAAAGACAAAGGAGACTTGTTTTGAGACAAGAGATGAGGTTCAGTGGTGGAGAACTGCTTAGCACAGGAGGTCCTGGGTTCAATCTTGAGGGGGGAGAGAAGAGAGAGAAGGGAGAGCGAACACTTGGACTGATACCTCCAACCCCAGACACACACATACCACAGGACAGCATTAGAACAGCAAGACCAAAGACACTACAGCTGCTAGCTCTTACCGCTTACGTGAGCCAGGAATGCTGCCTCGAGCACTCAGATGACTAAACACTTTTTCATACTCGTTTGTTCGGCTGGGGCCCAAGAAGACATTCCTAGTACTTTTAAAATGTTATGTTCCCAACCAGGGAACCTACTTATGTTAAAAAAAGAAATAAGTATAGTAAAAGAAATCTGAGTTAAAAGTTTTATTCATTCAACATCTCACATTACAAATATTTAAAAATTATATGCATACTGGTATAAATAGTCATTTGCAAACTATTTAATAACATTAATTCTTCACTAGCACTTCAACAAATGAACTCTTTTAAAAAAGGAACTGTGTTATATAACTTAAGAGTAGAACATACAAAAATAGGAACTTAACGTGAAAATGACTTTAATAAAAAAATGAATTACCCTTATTTAAAATGCTAGAATAAATACTACAACCTCCCCATACACAGTAAAAACTATATGGAAATTCAGCCAAGTAGTACAATTAACTGACGCACTTAAATAACGCTTCCTTCTGATAATATGAGCAATCACTGGGAAATCAGGGATTAGTAAAAACTAGACACCCACTTGCTAAAAGTTTCACTTCCAAAAAAATATAACAAAAATCTGATGAAATTATAAAAACTAATTATACTTTAAATTTTAAAAATATAAAAAATAAAACAGTTGAATACAATATTGTCCCAATTCTTACAATGCTATCAATCACAGTAGCTTTAAAATAAGATAATAAAATAAAGCAAATGACCAAAACCTCTTTTATTCCATTTTTAAAAATAATCTCAAATTTACATTAGTAGAAAGATTGATTTCTGATTCTTTTCTTTAGAAACACCAGCAAGAAAGAGGATTACTCTTAACAGTAGAAAATGACATTTTTAAATGTCTGCAATTAAAAACAAAGAATTACACTGCAAAGATCTTCCAAAGTGTGAGATAAGTATTGCACATAACTGGAGTGAGCTTGCCACAATTCATCACATTCAAGTTTTAAATCACCTTTTAACAGAAGATTCAACTCTTCAAAACAAAAGGGGTGAATTATCAAGTCTTTCCAACAGCACTCTCATAAAATGCTAAGTTCATTCACTGCAAGTTTTATTTTGCATTCTGCAGAGGTCTGTGTATGGAGAAGTATATATATTATACCAAAGCCAGGGGGCGGGGGTGGGGGGGGAGTTCCTTTACATAGAAAATAATCAGAAACACTTTATTTTACATTGCAAAAATAACCATGTAATTACTCTGTAACTACATTGTAAATACATGGCTGGTGCCATGCTAGTGCGCTAGAACTACATGCTTGGTAAATTGAAGTGATAACCCTAAAACTTGTAAACTAATTACATGTTAATTATGTTTGAGTTACATGGTAACTCCCAACTACAATCCCATGTAATCTGAAGGACATGTAATCATAAAGTTCAGAGTAATAGATAATCATTGTTTATGCCCTGTAAAGAAGTGGAACCAAATCATCTGTAAACACGCTTGTCACACAATCACAAGTAAATATTAGCAGAATAACAATTTCTTACATTAGTCATGCATACTAACATTACAGACCTGTCCTGTGGCAGGCGATTTTGTTTTATTATATAGAATTTAAAAGAGCAGACATCTCTGAATCAAACACATAACATCAATTAATTAAGATTAAAAATGGTTAAACATTCAGCCAAAATGTCTGCATTTTATGAATAATTTTAAAAACTTAGTAAGAAGCTGTAGACAATTTTGTTATTTTAAATTTCTACCCTATGCTTATGCATTTAATTTTTTTTAGGAACTACAGTGTTATCTTGTCATTTTCATGCGAATTTTTTCAATTTGTGACTTTACATAGACTATTTCTTAAATTATAGGTACACCAATAGCTGGTGCTGGGGAAGGATGTTTAAGCAACATGCTTTCTCTTCTCTGCAGACTCTAAAATAGCATTGCCAGTGCACAACATTCATAATTTAAAATGTATGCAGAGCACTGAAATGTATAAAAAGCAGAATATAAGAAAATAAAATTTATTAAAATTATTTATATTAAAAAATGAAGTATATGAAGATCTCTCAGTAATAAAAGTACAAAAAGCTACTCTTTGCAATATGAAAAATTGAGGTATTGCATAAAGAGATATCCCGTCAGTGAAAAGTGTGCCTAAAAATGTTCACTGTTGGAAAAACAAGATATACAAAAGTAGTGCATAACAAATATACATCATGTGCATGACAAAATAAGTTAGCTACAAAACACTGTACCGAAATTCAGCAGGTCATGTACAAAGGGAAAATTATTCAAAGCTAGTTCTCAAGCAGTGTTATTTCTTAACTCATCACGCCTGTTTACTGGGTAGGAACAGCACAACGGCACACCCCAAGCCACCTACAAGCAGTAAAGAAGAAAAAGAGGCAAATGAACATTCCAATTAGAATCATGTAGTTCAGGAGAAAAGAAAATGCGTCCCTGACCAGCTACAAGAGAGCACCCTCCATTCATTCGCATGACTGCTTTGCTGTTCTGTTAGCAGGGGAGTCGCTGACAGCGGCTCCTTCTTTCTGTTGGACTCTTAGACAGCAAGTGCCTCCATTTTGACCTTTGGGACTTAACAGGTGTAGTTCATTAAAGCCTGTGTTAAAAATAAAGGGCTGCTTTTCCTACAGACATCAGAGGGATCACCAGCTAGGCGGTGACACAGCACTGTGGGGCAAGTCTTTGGTTCTGAAGGCTCCAAGATGGTACTGTTAGGTAGCACAGCGAGCAAGAGCACACTGAGGCTGCTGCTGTCAAATGCTTTGCACACTGATAGTCATCCTCTGAACTACGGTAGGGCATTTAATAAGAGAAAGTCAATTCAACGAAAAGTTACGTCCATGACCAGGGCTTCAAGAGACTATTTTAAATTTACCTCTGAAGCATACTGTTCAAAACATAAGAACATCTTTCAAAGCTAGGGTTGTATTTATAATAAAGCATGCATTACTTGATGAAGTTGGCACTTCAAACACTATGTCCCATGCTAAGTTCGGAAAGTGTATGTTATTGTACTTTATAGGAAGAGTAAGATAAACATACGGACTTTTGCACAGATTTACACAATTACTTAGTTCAACAGTGCAAAAACACTTTGCAACTACTTGACTTTTTTAAACCTTCCCCCCCCTACATTTTCTATGTTACAACTAAATTACAGGATTCCAAAGTATGTTCAAATGGAAAACAAAGCCAATGGGCAGCCAATTTGTATGCTATTTTCATCTTCCAGTTTTGGCTACAAGTGTAGTGTAACACAAAGTCAAAAATGATATCTTTGAGGTATGTCTAGATATGTTGTTTTCCAATGTCAAAATGGAGAGCAAAGGCCGACAGCTGATGACCTAGTAAATTAGGATATAGAGTTTCTATATAACAACAAAAATAAAATTTATGCTTTTGTTCTTCTGTTTCCCACCAGATATCATTACTTCTAGCTTTGGTAGGCTTCCTGGGGTGTGACTAGGAAGTCAGTGAAGTAAATAAATGCACTCCCCTCAGTAGTAAAGTCACCTGATTCTTACATTCGGAATTTTTAGAATTATTCCAAAGAAAACAAACTCAGCTCTGCCTGCTTTATTATTTTCTGATGTATGATGCATTTGAGGCGTGATTAAACCATACTTAGCCTCAAAGCCCTTCCGGTTATGCTGCTCAATCTTGTTCATCGTTTGCTGTTAGTAACTGTTAACTTCCTCCATTGCTGTTAAAGAATGAAAAAGGATAGAAAAGACAAGGAATGAAAGAAAAGAAAGGAAATGGCAAGAGCACTTCCCTGGGGGAGACTGTGTCAGATTAGACAATAGTGTTACTGTTGGTGGTTATCTCAATAAAGTATTCTTATATGTTATATCATTACCAGCAATTAAAAACCCAAAATATTGTTTCATTTCTGTTAATATTTCTCTCCTCTAAGAAAATGCTGCAGCAAGTTTGGATCCTCTTGGCCTCCAGCAAAACAAGAGAGTTAAAACTTGCATGCACCATGATGGCAATGTGGAAAAGGAGTTAAACATACTGTTTGTAGTGACACGAGAGTCTACAAAATACCTATGTTGTAGGTTGTTCTTTCATTCTACTACTGTTAGTTACACACTCTACACAGGACATGCCAGCGTGAAGAGGCTGAGGAAGGGTCAGAGTGAACAGAAGAGGGCACTTCTGAGGCCTGCAAATGAGCTCTGGAGTCATTCATCCTTCAGTTCCAGCGGAATGAAATATGCCGAGGGCGGTCACCACCTTCCTTCACCAGGGGCTTGTGGAATTCCCTGCCAGCACGAGAGTGAATAGCAGCCCAGCAATATTCACAGTAATACTGCAGACAGGTAACATTAGCACAGAAAAATGGAGCGAATTTCCCCCCACAACGGGCCCCTTGACATTCATCACACAGTTGGTCATCCAGGACATATGGCTTAACCTCCACCTGCAATGGAGAGATAAAAAGGGAGTTGGCAAGTCAGAACCATGTGCAAGCACACTTTTATCCTGTGCCTCAGCCTACCTGTGCCAACGTGTTAAAAGGGAAGGGGCAGTGATGCACTTACTGAAATGAAGACCATCCATTTCAACAGAAGATGCTAATATCTATCCGTTTTACATGCTTGTCTTATTAAAATAAACATTCAAACAAAAGAACAAAAGAAGAATTTTATTAGAAATCATAAAGTAAAACCAACTGCTTAGAGCATTATGAAATGAAACTCTCAGGTTTTCCTCAGAAACCCTTGTTTTAATTAGTGGATCTAGATTTTTTTGGTCATTATCAGAATTATAATTTAAACAAAACCATCTAAGTGCTTCCATCTTCCACAAAATAGCATACTGCAAGGGTTAGTGGGCAAGAAGATGGCTGCTTTTTGCTCTATGAACTTCTGAGAGGTTGACAAGCTTGGCTGGTGGTTTCTTTTAAGTGTCCACAGCTGGAGTTCCAGTAAAACCTGATGTGGCTGTGGTCCTCACAGCCGAAAACCTCACTTTATTCCTTGTCAATGAGAGTGGTTTACCTGACTCTAAAAGTGAGAGGTGATTTTACAGAACTGGGCTGTTCCAGTATTTAGTGGGCCAATATCATCTGAGCCTCTTGAGCATTAGAACAACCGTTGTTAACTCACCAGCTGTAAGATTGGTTATGATTTTAGTCTTAGAGATTCCAGGATGAAACTCCCTAGTACTTGTGGAAGGGCAGGTAGACTTTAAGCCACAGACTCTGCAGTGGTCCTAGAGAGGGACTGAACACTGACCCACGGGTTTCACTAAGCATTTCTAATGATAAACCCAAACTGGAAACACACTGATGGGGAAGTATGAATGAAGAGCAGACAGCATGTGACTGCTATAGCAAATCCTGCCCGTCACCTGTAGGTAGAGCTTTCTACCACTGACACAGACTATACACGACCTGAAACACTGAGCACAACCCACCAAGTTGACTTTCTATTTTAGACTGAGTAAAATAATCAATGACAGTAAAATAATCAATGAAGACCTCGGAGTGTTCGATACCTACATCAGACACAGGTCTCACAATAGATGGTGCACCATTTCTGGAGCTTTCCAAACACAGTCCAGGACTTACCCGTTTATCTATCTCTCCATGCTGTAGCTGAACAAAGCGGGCACTGATAGCAGCTATGTAACTCTGTTGATTAGAAAATGCAACTCGTCCAGCTCCTTTTGGGTATTTGAGCTCAGGGTCAGTATCAATCCCAGCATAGCAGACACCTCCATACAGCCGATCCATTATCATGGCAAGCTCCACTAAAATGAGAGGAGCAGAGACACAATCAACAAGACTTATCTGACTCACACCTACTGTGTCATGGAAACAAAGTTTATGTGACCTCTGAGTTTGCATTATAGTCATTATTAAAATCAAAATTATTATTGCAATAACTTTTCTGCTGGGTGAGTATTTATTCATTCAACAAGCTGGTTGGTTTATATTGTGCTGTCTTAATTTTCACAACCTATGAAATAGGCAGTAATTTTCTGAGAAAACTCAGGCTCCGAGATGATTGGTCTGTCACTGGTGACAGGGACAGGCCTGGCACCTACATTTGTCTGCTCTGGGCTGCACTGTTGTCATATCTGTACTGGTTAGGAAGGTATTGGTTACTATAAACAGAACATTAGAAAATTCACTCGTCGATTCTTTGGGAGCCCTTCTTACTCCCTTCACCACCAAAGTCCAGCACCTTTGCTTACATCTAGTTATTTACTAGCACATATTGCATTGACTGCTCCTTCAGAGGACCAGCGTTTCATTCCCAGCACCCACATGGCAACTCACAACTCCAGTCCAAGGGAATTCAATGCCCTCTTCTTGCCACTGGGGACATTGCACATAAACTCAAAGCTCATGGAGTATTTCAGTCAAAGATCTTTATATTTCACATGCTAAAGATACAGGGATTTTGTCTAACTGTACCAGCTCGTAAGGGTCGAGGAACACCACCGACAAATATTGTTTTTCGTGGGTCAAGCGGCTGTGAGCCATCCATCACGAAGTCACTGTCACTGAGATTCCAGGGCCGAATCTGCACCTAAGAGTGTGTAAATCAAAATGCTCATATCAAAAAAGTTCAAAACTCTTACAGAGTATTTTACAATAACCCATTTTGTCACAAACCAATAAAGCTGTAAAACTAAAAGGCCTAAAAACTGCTTTCCCTATCCTTCATTTCAGAGTAAGAGTGTTTCATGAATAGTTCACTTACTATGAGCCAAACACACTCATACATCCTTCATTACCTACAAGTTAACTATTTTTCAGTTTACTAGGACCTCTATTTTATCCATCCTTACAATACCTACATAATTAAAATTTAAATAAAATAGGACTCAGCACATTTCCAGGAAATGCATACTTACTATTGATACTAATGAATCTGTTATATTGCAAAGTAAAAATATTGCTAATGTTTGCAAATTTTTTTTAAAGTTTATTTATTTTTATTTATTTGGGTGCAGGGAACTGAACCCAGGTCCTCTGCAAAGGCAGCAAGTGCTTTTCCCACTGAGCAGTATTACTTTCATAAACACTTTAGTGCTCATTAGCCCAACCAAGAATAATGTACCTAAGCCAGGCCTGGTTGTGCAGTCTTGTACACCCTATGTACCAGTTTGATTTATCCTGTGAATGTCCTCAACCATAAGGTCTTATGATCAAGTTTTTGTTGGTAGCCAAGAGCAATGGCAATAGCCTATGGTGTATCCCACACCTGGCATTGGGCTTTTTGTCTGATAACCTATGGCTTTAGGTGGGAGCACTGTCCCTCTGTATAATGTAACTCTAATTCCCTCCTTCTCAATGTCTCTCTGTCTGTCTCCCTCTATGTATATGTATACACACACACAAGCTTATAAAATAGTATAAAATAGTTTCAACATGTTTTTTCAAATATCTGCAGTGTTAGTTAGTTAGTCCCCCCAACCCCTTGTCTGCCCTACCCTCTCATTCTCTTCTTCACTTAAACCTTCCCACTTATAGCCTAGAAGGTGCTTTGCAGGCTGCTGGGGAAGAAAAGTCATGAACAGTTTTATCCAGCTGTGAACCCTGTGAGTTACAATAACAACCAGCCTGGCAGAATTGGCCGTTGGTGGAAAACTGGCATGAATGTTATGGGAGTATCCAAGAGTTTTTTTATTGGACTATGACCTACTTCAGAAGACACAAGTTTATGTATGATACCATTAACTGGGCCAAGACACTATGGTTGGATAAGCCATTGGCTCTAGAGGAAAACCTACTACTATTTTGCTAAAGGGACATAGTATCAAACTGCCTTCTAAATATTTATCCTTCTACCCACAGAGTAAGCAGATCTCACTGTTCATCAGAGAAGTTTCTTTATGCAGTGGATGGTGGTTAATAGAGACTCATAACTGGCTAGAGTGCAGAGAACATGTGACTGTAGAGTACGGACTTAAAATTCAATATCTGTCTCACACTCCCTCATCGAAAAGGCTGAGGAGCACTGAGGAAAGGGGAATGGGAAGACTGTAAGCTCATAGGGCCTCCTCCCTAATGCTTTTGGCAGGAGGTGGCTGCTAGGGGAGGGACAGTCAGCTTTCTTCAGTCCTGTGGCCCATAGTTGGCACATATATACAGAGAGCACTGACTGGACTCAGTAAGTTATTAGAAGGAGGAGGATGAGGATGAGGAGTGGGAGGAGGAAGAAGAGATGATGTAGTTAGGAGGAGGATATAGGGGAGGAATGTTTTCTAAAAGCTGAAGGGGTATAGTAGGGCATCTAAATACATTGTTTTCACATATGAAATTACCAAAAAATACATAATAAAACCTGTTATACTCTATTTTCAAACATATAAATTTAAGTAAGAAAACAGGTGAATGGAAGCATAAACAAAAGACAATTTTATACTACACTTACTGGTTTATCCTTGATGGTTGGACTTGATACACACAGGTAGAGTTTTCCATCTTCTTCAATGCACGCATCAATGAGAGCCTGGACAGAACTTTCATCTTGAAACAGCAGGAATGCATAGCCTGAGACAGGGGACAGAAAGTAAGGCTTACATGCTTTCCTGTCTTTGTCACACATAGGATAAACAGCTTAAAGTAAAATTAAGGGAAAAAGAATATAAAATATGAAAAATTAAAACAATATTCCTAATAAAAGTCTGAACACATCAGTAGCTCATTTTAGTAGTATCTTTTTAAAAACACTTCTCTCTCCTGTGTGTATGTGTGTGTGTGTAGATCATGCATGAAGGTCAAAGGTCAACTTGCAGGCACTGTTTTTCCTTATTTACCATGTGGGTCCAGGGGGACAGAACTTTGGTTGTCAAGTATGGTATAAGTATTGAGTCTTCTAACTAGCTCCATTTGGTAGTATCTGGAAACATTCTGCAAATGTGTAATTAAAATTAAATCAAAAGTATATTATGTAGAAAATTTGAAAACACACTTAGAAAAATAGAAATTTTAATAAAAACTTTTGCAGTGAAAGTAATACTTAATGAAAGCGCTCAGTATTAGACAACCTGAGAATAAAATGTACTGCAATAATTGGAGTCTCAAGACTTACCTTTTGGTGGAAAATAAGATTTGCTCTCTGCTTTATGAGGCCAGTCCACAATCAAAGGGCCAAAGCGACGGAAACTAGCTGTGATCTCATCTAATAAGAAATAAAAAATGTTGATTTGAATCTATCAGTTTTAATAGTCTTTTAAATATAAAATCACTTTATTGCAATGAAGTCACAAATAAAACCTCCCAAAACTAGAATGTGGCCACTCAATTATGTGCCCAGTGCCAAGTCTCCACACCTCAGTGAACCTCTGAACAGTCAGAACACACATTTTGAAGATGTAGGGTTTCAGATTGTCACTATCAATTACATTTTTATGTACTTATCCAGCACATAAGAAAAGGAAAAAAAAAACAAAGAAAGAAAATATGACAGAGAGAAAACTAGAAAGCAGCTAGTTATCTTCTTTCAGGGTTCATTGTCCATTATCTACATCCCAGTTTTCCTCATCACCTGGTATCACCCTTCCTTGCTCTCCCTTTAATAAAAGCCTATCTCCAACCACAGTGCAAAGAGCTCCTGTATTACTTCATGGCATCACACTCAGGACTGAGCACATCTGCCTCAACCTCTTCCTTACATCTTTCTCCCTCTAGTTAGATACATATAGAGTCAACTTATCTATCCATCATCCTTTACTGACATTATCCTTTATAACTCCCAATACTACCATTGGTATCAGCTCAAAGCAGCTCAAAAGTTGCTCTCTTTTACACTTCTATGTGTAGCTTCCACCATCAAGAAATCAAAACTGATTCAATTACTCTTCAGTGTTCGGACTCCATTCAATAACCCAACACAATCTTTTCCTTTATTTTTGATAAAGAATCCCACCCAGAGCACATGCTGCATCAACTGTTATATCCTTGAAGCACTAGACTTTTTCAGCTCTCCAGTCAGTCTGTATCAGTGGTTCTCAACTTGTGGGTCGAGACCCCGCAGTCTAGCACAGCCCTTGTTCGGTAGTTTCATGCTGTGTATCCCAGACACAAATACTACCAAATGATACTGTGTCACTTCATCATTTATTTATTTATTTATTTGTTTGTTTGTTTGTTTTTGGGGACAGGGTTTGTCTGTAGCTTTGGTACCTGTCCTGGAACTAGCTCTGTAGACTAGGCTGGCCTCGAACTTACAGAGATCCGCCTGCCTCTGCCTCCGGAGTGCTGGGATTAAAGGTGTGCGCCACCACTGCCTGGTGTCACTTCATCTTTTAATTAAACACAACTGATCCTGGTCATGTGGATTCTCTTTCAAGGAGAAGCCATTTTCCTCTCTGTATTTGATTAGCACTTTGCAAGGAATACTTGTTACTAGCAGCATTCTGCTGCATTTGTCATGCCATTTACTAGAAGGCACCACTGATACATATGTAACCACCATGATGGCTGTCAAATGTTGGTGACCTGTTTCCACTGTTCCTTCTACATTTGCTCATCTGTATCACACAGTATTGAAGAGCTCTTCTTTCTCTTCTGGTTATTTACATATACACCTACTTCACTCAAAAGGTTGTAATATTCCAGTTCTAATTCTATTTTGATTCTTTCTATCTATCTATCTATCTATCTATCTATCTATCTATCTATCTACCTACCTACCTACCTACCTACCTACCTACCTTTCCCTGAGATGGCCAGTGGGAGCTCATAGGACCTTCTGACCGTTCCCTGTCATTTTACAAAGCATTTCCATACTTTGTGGCTCATGAAGATATTTCATCATATCTTGTTTTCCTGCCTCACCACGAAATCATGTCAACATATGAAATGCTTTTTTATAAAGCAGTCTGGATTACTTTTAGCAGCAAAAACCTCCTATATCCTCATAACTAGAAGATATTATTTCCAAGTCTTCTTCAGTAGACAAAGCTAGGAAATCAATACATATGCAAACAAACATGTTTATAACTCTTTGTGTATTATAAAAACCGACATACATATTGATATTTCCAATGCAACTCCAATATCTCATGGGTTTTCCTAGCCTTGTTCCTTCCCTTGGCTTGAGCTTCCTTCAATCAATAGTGCAGTCTATTCTGTATACCTGTTTCTGCACAACTGAGCTTAAACGAGACTGATTTGCAGAAGAATGCTGCTAGGCTGACTTGGAAGTTGAATGGTTCATAAGAAACTTTTTCCTGAGCAAGGTGAGCTAGATGGTAAGAATAGAACTAACCATAATACTCACTATGAAAGGAAAAGCCTCAGCTTGTGAGATGCAAAGCCTGCACCTTCTCAGCTCCAAGTTAAGAAAATCAAATCCAAATGTAACAAGCAAGGCTCTTTTGCCAGAAAGGAGGATCTCAGTCTCCAGGGCTCCTGGCATCCTCTCAGGTGTTCAGTGGTCCATCTTTATTTACTATATTTCCATGACTATAAGCTAGCATTTCAACGTTGTTACTTTAGGGGCACTGTCACAGGATACTGGGCTACCCGACTAGTACTTGGACTGTTCAGGTTATGTCCAAGTACTAGTTCTGGTTTTGTTCTGTTTCAGATACAAAGCTTATTCAATTTCAAATGATCTGCCTCTCATCCCATGTCCTATAGATAAATTCTATAATTTTTTACTGCACAGTTCTCCAGAATACAATATTTTCAAGCTCTGCACTCTGAGGGTGATAAGGAGAATGAGAATGAATGGAATTGAAATTTCAACAGTTTTATCAAGATACTTAACAAGTGCGTTTATTATAATCTTTAACCTTCTAGAAGCTTGACAAATGCAATCTTAGTCTAAGTGACAAATAATTAAATATTATTAGATCTTACAGACTATTACAGAAATAAATTCTATTCTCTAGAACATGAATTACTCTATTTCCACTTCCATTCAGAAAACTAAAACAAAAGAAACTGAAAATATCCAAGACTGTAAGACTGCTAGTCTGCTACTGTGGTTTTTATTAGGGTAACTAAAACTGAGAAGTGAACTAAATATTACTGGGTAACCAATCCCTCCACACCAACTCAGGTCTCAGCACAAATACTATTTCCTGAAAGTGGGTTTCCTTAGCCACCCAATCTAAGAAGACTCCTTGCATGCTAGACCTTGTAACACTGTTTGCTTTCCAACCCTGCTCTCTGATATTTTCTCATATGCTTACATACTTTCCATGCACCTTCCCCCATTAGAATGTAGATTCTGCAAATGGGCCCTTCTGTTTTGTTTACTTCCATAAACAAGCCCAAGAACAGTACAGCAGGTTAGAGAACATGTACATGTTTGCTGAATGAAAAAATATGTAAAATTTAATGACTTTAAGGACTTTCTTCTTGTAGTACAGGTATAGAATACCATTTTTTTTTTTTTTCGAGACAGGGTTTCTCTGTAGCTTTTGGTTCCTGTCCTGGAACTAGCTCGGCTAGACCAGGCTGGCCTTGAACTCACAGAGATCCACCCGCCTCTGCCTCCTGATGCTGGGATTAAAGGTGTGCACCACCACTGCCCGGCTTTAGAATACATTTTTAAAAGTTCATGGTTAGTCTAAAATTTGAAAATTTGAAACAATGGAAAGTAGATAAGAAAAAAACAAAACCCAACAAAACTGGACAAAACAGAATAAGGGCACTTAAGCCCATGCTGTCCACAATAGAATCCTTGGGACATCTCTGGGGTCTTCCCTCTTTCTACTGAATTTGGTCGTTGCTTCAGCACATCCCCACAGTCCTGCTTCGCTTCCTTCTGCAACTAATCTTATGATATGACAGGATGACAGGACAAAGGACCAAGGTGAGCAAGACTAAGATCTGAGCCGGACAAGACAGGGACTATAACAGCAAACTCTGTACAACTTCCCCCTGGGCCACCATGCTACTCTAACACAGTCCTTCCTGAATATACCTTCGTCAATGTCAGGAGGCAATCCACCCACAAACACCTTGCGGGAATATCGTTCCACTCTCTCCCCGTTCTGGTGAGTAAAGCAGTGAGGTGAACCCAGGCCACTATGAAGAGGTTGATCCCCACGGCCATCATCCAGGAATCCATCTTCCATCGGAAACAGTGAAGACTGACCTGAAACAGAAAGCAGAACAGAAAGCTAATAGGAAGGGCTCCTCGTCACTGGTTATCACACACACCAAGAAAAATATGAATGATAAAACTGCTGCTTTTATTTGCTCACTACAGGTTCACTTATGCTCTTGAATTGTTATCACCTTAAAGTCTACGGAAACACAGAGACTGTATTTGGTTAAATAGGAGGGCTACTTAGTATCATCCCACAGGAATCCAGAAGCTTCAGCACGAGAAATGGAAGCACAGTTGAAGAGAACACTCTTTTGAAAGCTGTTGGCAACAGACTGCACTGCCTTGGCAGTGCCCTAAGGCAACCTACACAAGGACAAGGAATATTAAATTTGGCTATAAAATGTTGGTTACATAAATTTCTTTAATAGACCCAATTGTATAGCCTCTCCATACTTTCCTAAGAATGTACTTAAAATGAGCAAGTCAATTTTAAGTGGGTACTCATTTTAGTTTACATTAACTAATAGGATATATCAAAGTTCATTTCATTTTGGTACACAATTCAGTTTCTAGTCTTATAGCATTTAAGATCTGGAGGCATGCTAAAGATATATTAGCTGAGTGATTATTAGCTTACCAAGGATGTCATCTGCTTTGAAAACTATTCTAAAAACTGAAGTTCCTATCCTCTGGAATACATAGAAAAGGAGAAGAGACTAGAAATGCCAAATGCCAAGTCTTTCTATACTTACCTGGCAGGAAAATAGAAATATCTATAACATAAGCAAAGCACAGAGGCGCAGAGAGCTTCAGTGTCCCGAGCTGCTGTGTACAGATGCTCTCTGAGAAACTGCCAACTGTACTCTAGAAATGATCTCCAGTCTATTTACTGGAATTCTCGCATGCCCTTTGGGAGTTACAGCAATTGTAACTCCCATTCCTGAGCAGAGACAACAGTGTCTTTGTCACAAATTCATTCTATATGCCATTAGTAAATTATGACCCAAAATGGGTCTACAACTTCAGATTATTTTCTGAATGATCTTTTTTTTTTAAAATCACACTTTAAATCTAAATTATTTAATGGTTTTATTTTCTTATAAAATAGCAAAGTATTACAGATAAGAAAATTAAGTTTAGTTGAAAGCTTCTAGCAAATGAATCTCTAAAATTCCCTATTATTTTAGAGCATTTGTAGAACTGCTCATTTATTCATCATATTTAATTAAATAAATACAGAATGTTCACTTAGTAAAAGAAGCTGATGTAAATTCCTTAAGTATAAATGACTCTTCAATTAATGAGATTTTTTTTAGACAAGTCTAGCTTTTAAGGAATTAAATATTTTAAAAAAATTCTTAAATTCTTCTAAGGAGTTAAAAAACTAAATCTTCCGCTATAAGTCAGCTAAATATCTAATACACAGAATTCAAATCCTAGTCCTACCATTCTGGTAATTTTTCCAGCTCTTTAATGTCTACAGCTCCAACTACAAGACAGAGATTCTGAAAATGGCAAACCCATCCACTTCCCTTCACTCCTTCCCCACAGAGATTATAAACTGGGAGAGCACAAGTCCTCTCCATATAGAACTGATACATTCAAAAGTGAAAAACATTGATGTTACCTCTCCTTCGCCCATAAGTCCTTGCTGCATGTCAAATGAGAAGAAAAAACAAAAAAACAAACAAAAACAACCTTTCAAACATTGTCAAAGAATCCACTGAGATTTCATCTATGAGCTTTTGAAACGGCAAAGGAAAGCCAAATTCTTCATTTCCTAGTCTATGCATTAAAAAAAAAAACCCAAAAGCCAAAAACCAAACCAAGGAATTGGACGGTTATGATCAGTTTCATGCATTTTTAAAAAGGCAACATAATCGTTACTGAATGTCACTTGTTTTAAAGGAAACCGTTGACTGTAGTCATCATCCAAGGGCTTGACCTTATGAAGCTAAGGTTATGTGCAATATGATCTACACCAATTACCACTGTGCTAATTATACTTTCTCTCAGATTTCCAAGCTAATAATTTAGCAAACACATCAATATTGAATTCATGTCTTTTCACCATTACAGAATACACATCTTACAGTATTTTTCTAATCCTTGCAAATAGAAGATAATCACAACAAATGAAAATTTCAGGCAATTTATATATTAGCTTTAGTCAAAAGTTTTGTATCCCCAATCAATCAAGCAAACAAAAAATCCACAACCAACCCAAACCTCTACCCAGTCCCAGATGTTCAAAACTGAAGGTCGGGCTTTGTCGCCAAATCAGTTGCAGTTCAAAAGAAGAGAAAAGGTTTAATTATTGAATCCACAAGACACATCATAAACTTTAAGAGCATCCTGAGAAAATGTTCTCTCTGAGATGAACTGGCACGGGGCTCATCCTGTTCAAGGTGAGCCTTGGCTCAATTTGACATTTCCTGACCCCATGGTCTTACTAAGCGCAGTGGATAAAACAACCTGAAGATTTGACCTCAAGCAACAAGTGATCATGTATGCCACGGGTCACATAGCCATTTGCCATGATAATGAGCCGTGCCTATGGCTGTAGTGACCTTACTTTACCTACTTTGATCTTCCATGGTTTCAGTATTTTTCATGGTACATCTCAATTCGAAAATATCAAATAGAAAATTCAAGAAATACAATTTGTAAGTACTGAGTAGCATTATGGAACCTGGCACCTCTCTTCTCTACCATGCCCAAGATGTGGATCACCCTTTTTGTCCAGTGTTTTCATGCTGCATGTGCTACCTGCCTGTTAGTCACTTCTGAGATATTTTGAGAAAGACTATATTCATATAACTTTTATTACAGTTTCATTAAATTAAAAGCAACGAAATTAAATTATTGTTGTTCATTTCTTACATACCTCATCTATAAATAAACTTTATTACAGGTATGTATGTATATATGTACATATAGGAGAAAACATTTAACACCATCATCAGTCTTTAGGGAACACAGTCCTGCTGGTTATGTAGAACATGCAACAGGAACTGAGGAGAATTCCTTGTATGTAAGGGGGTGGCAGGAATGGAATATAGGTGAGACCTTAAAGGAAAAACAGGAGGAGTATCAAGATTGTCGTACCACAGGGTGCTGTTATGTTCAGACAAAGAATGTAGCACAAGTAGTATTTGGCTGGGGACTGTGTTTAAACAGGACATTTTGACAGGCTCTTAGACGTTAGATGTCACTCTAAAAACTGCCACGACACCACTTTCACTATTTATCTTCTAGACACAACACAAATCAATTTAACTCGGAACTAACAGTTGAGTATTTTGCAAAATAAAATTAGGTTTCATACCAAAATATATTTCTACCATTACTACACAGCACTGGACTCCACTCAACTACTGGAGTAAACAGATTAAAAGAGTGCTCAGATTTTCTTCAAGGAAAGCCTGGTAGGTGTTCATTCTGATGAGTTCAGGGTTAGCAGGTAAAGAGCTACTTTCCAACTTACCAGACAGAGGTTAGAAAGACAAGTGACATCACAAAAGTGGGTGTGTGCTTTTATAAATAGAACATTCTATTTAGACAACCACTTCAAAGACAAAGGAGTTTGAGAAGAGAGTGACTTGGAAGTCTAAGTTCTATCTTAACAAGTAGATTGATGCTACTTCAATTTCTGAGAAAAGAGATATTTGAAAGAGTAGCTTTTAGAAGCTACAAAGCCAAATGAAAACTCACATGGCTTCCATAAAAAAATTAACAAAGCCCCAAAGCCTTCAAAAACAGCAAGAGCTATAGATAAAATAGCTAAAATAAAGTACCTCCAAAAATCTTCGAATGTGAGGTCTCAATTTTTATTTATGTACATGAAATTAAGTGGTTAAGAGGGATGTAAGGTTAAATTCCAGGATTAATTTTGAAAACTAATCAGACACCTTTTCCCATATTAAGGAAAGAAGGTTGCAGGTACATAATATTTACAACCATAAAACTTGAAAAATCAAACAGAAAAAAATGGTGTAAACTAGTATGGAAAATAATGACGTTTGAAACTTAATGTAAATGTATTTTTTATTTTCACTTATATTTTGTGCATGTGAATTTTGACATGTGACATATGGAAAAATAAACAAACTGCAGCTTTGACAAACATGCCAGCACAATCAGAATCCAAGTAGTAATTAAATGCTAAATGCTGCCTCTCTATCCTATGGAAAGATTTACTAATGCCCCTTCCCCACAGACTCCAAGTTATATTTGGAATAACATTGTGATGAAATACTCGCAACACAGACTTTCCTGGGGAAAATATGTCACACAGAGTTCTAATCTCATGAACAGAAAATATAGTTTGTCATTTGATGTTTTGCAAACACAAAGGGGAAAATTCACAAAGGCACACATGTTTTGGAAAAGTTCTAGTTAAGTCAGCTGAAGTACACTATGTTAAGAATTTCCTCAAAGTGACTAAAGTATCAACTGTTATGATGTATTAGATACATGTTTGTATTGCTAGACTGTTATGACTTTTTAAAGAAACATTTTCATATTGCTAAGTTAGAGCCTCTCAGTCTCCATTAGAGTTAAAATAAATACTATTTGTAGGCCCTACCTTTATTTTTATTGCTCATTTTGGGCTTAGTCTTCAATGATTTAATGTTCAGAACTAAAAATAATCAAGAATAGTAAACATATGCTTGAAACATTGTGGCCATAAATGTCTCTAACTTCTAGATCTGTGTTATTAGTTCTATTGATAAGTGCTTCATTTATAAAACAACTCTACAGGACTGCTTATAAATGGTTTTCTTATCAGCCTTATACTCACAGTCAAAGTCCCTCTAGTAAAATGTTCCATTAGTCTGGGGGCTAGAATTGCAAAGAAGGTACAGAAAATTTGTTCTCTCTCTCTCTCTGAATGTATTTCATTATAAAGGTGAGTTTCTATTTGTTTCTTAAAAAGCATCTTTTTCCCCCTTATTTCAAAGTATCCATATCAGGAATTCCTATTATGTGACCCCTTTTAACATGTGCAAATATTATTGTATTGTGTGTAGCAGTGCACACACACATGCATACACACACACTAACATGTAACAAAGAAAAGATATAATTCAAAGACCTAAAACTTATAGTTGTTAATCTTTGAACAAAAGGGGGTAAATACTAAAAGCTGATAGGATGCCTATATCTGAAATGATCAAGGCCTATCAAGGTCCAACAAAAGTGCAAATAACAATTTTAAGTGACTTTATAATCAACCTCTAATAAATTCACTATCAAAATTAATTTATAAATATAGGTTATAATTAGAATTTCCTATGTCACATCACACATATAGATTATAATTAACATTTCCTATGTCACATTAGTAATTTGATACAGTAGCATTGAAAGAATATGAAGAATATAAGAAATATATTTTTCTTAGGTAAATTATAGTCTCCTTTTTTACAGATTTCGGTCCACATCCAAGCAAACAATCTCCCTTCTTCACTCTAAAACTTATAATTAAGAGTCAAAAAGTCTTTGACAGTTTTTAAAAGATAGGTCTCAACGCCCCTTCTCTGGAATAAGAAAACACTTGATGCTTCTAAATCAACAACAGACATCATCAGAGGGAAAGAACCACATAAATGAGTTCCAAAACCTAACATTCTGTTGTTGTTCTGGAACCTTTCTTGTGACCAAAGTTTATCTTTTAAACAATTCTAATGGTTAAAATAGTAGAAAATGGAGAATTGAAAATAAAGATTAAAGGAAAAATGAAGAACAAAAGTACAAACTTCTCTTTTTAGTGGAGGTGGTAGTAATTGTTGGTTTCCCTAGATAAAATTAAGCTTCAACATAGGGATGAATAAAATTAATTAATCTTCCAGTCAGCACCTAATTTAGTGCTTAACTAGGTCACACCAGAAGAAACTCAGAGGTAAATCTGGCTCATATTTAGCATTTTTGCTTAACCAAGAAATTAAGTTTCAAGCTTATGTTTCAGAGCCATAAAACACATATGCTTATTACATAAAATTTATTAGTAAAAGACATTCGTTATGCATTGACTTTTTTGCTCCACACCCAAAATTTATATGCTCAAGTCTTACCTTTAAGGACTTCAGAATATGATGGCTTTTAGGGATAGTCTTTTGAAAGGTAAAATTAAATGAGGACCTTTGGTGGGTCCTAATCACACATGACCTCTGTCTTAAGAAGTTAGGTTGGAGATGTGTAAAGAGGGCAGACTACGTAAGGAGAAGGCATCTTTACACCAACAAGAAATCACTCCTGGGCATGCTTTCATCTTAGACTTCTAGCCCCACAAGGTGACTCCTAGCCCCACAAGGTGACTCCTAGCTCCACAAGGTGACTCCTAGCTCCCACAAAGTGACTAGCCTTCACAACTGTGAGGAAAAATTGATATTTAAGTCACAGTCGGTGTGCTTGTTACTGATCCCTGAACAAATTAATACACTAAATGATTTAAGCCCAAGACTTTTCCCCAGGAAAAAAAGAAAAAGAAAACTTCTATAACTAACATTTTACACCAAGGTATCAAGCTTTTATTATCCATTTTTTAAAACAGCAAAAAGTTGAGGAAATTACATTTAGAAGTGGAAGTTTGGGTTACTTATCTCATTAACAAAGAAAAGCGTGTTCACCCCAGACAACTTTTACAGATTCATCTTAGTAATGCCTTGTTGTTGTCGCTCCTTTTTTTGTAAATCCTTAGTGTGCATATTCTTAAGCAAAAAGAAATATAAATGGCTTTAGTTAGACTCACTGTGTGCTTGGTTTGATAAGTGATTTAGCTGTATTTAATACTCAACCCTGCAAGAAGGGAGGTTTCTGTAATTCTTGAGCTTGTCTTCATTAAGCACATTTACTACCGTATATTAGCCTTCCAAGATAAATACACCCGAAATCTGACATAACCTAAGAGCAAAGCTACTAAGAATCAGAGCAATAAGATCCATTTATTATAAAAGTGGTCCATTTGCAAGGATGTTTTATAAAAATGACTAAAGAAATAGGCAATACCCATGCCTAAGTCAAGGAGCTGAAGGTTTCACTGTCCTCCTTTCCTAAACAACTCTGATTTCATGACGTTTTAGTAATCTTTTAAAATTATTTTCCTTTACATTTTAATTATGTGTATCAGTCTGTGCACATGAGTGCAGGTGCCTGAGGATTCCAGAGGTGTCAGATCTCCCTGGAGAGTAAGTAACAAGTGGCTCGGAGCCTTGGGTCATCTGCAAGAGCAGTATGTGCTCTTAACCACTGAACCAGCTCTCCTGCCCCCACTTAAACAATCTTCTAGTATATTTGACTTTAACACTAGAGAATGACTGAGTCAGTTCTGGCATCTGCTCTGCCCACAAGTTTCATTCTTCAGTACAAATGAAAACATCGGCATCTGGTCCTACTGGTCTCCTACTAAAAACTAACACTAGGTCACATCTGACAAAACCTAGTCTGGACCCTGTAAAGCTGGATGTTAAACCTGAGACCAAGGCAATCACGACTTTACACTCTTGGGTCTGCCTTAAGGAGCCAGAGTTTCTCCGTTTCTATTATCTTTTTAGTTTTCTTCATCATCACATCTTTCAGTTTGAGGTGATATTAACCCAGTCAGTATATTTTTATAATAAATATAACTTCTATATAAGCAGCAGTGGAAATGAAGCATCTGGCCTCCTTCTATAGTTTATGGACCATTAAAATTTCAAAACATAAATACTTGGGGAGAAAGGTCATCTTTATTATTTTTCCTTTGCCAAGAAATCGTCACTGAACAAAAATTCATAAAAATAAATATTAACAGAGATAAAAGGAAAGGCAAAACAAAAAATCTTAAAATTTAAATATGTTCATCTTTAAGAGAAAGTTACCAGAGAGTTTTTCTAAGATGAGTCTCACGGGCAAGTGATCCAACTGAACAACTTCATGAGGAAATTAATATAAAGTCAACCACTTTGCCGTATCTCAAATCTTGGTTCACTGTAATTTCCAGTACCTGGACCTGAGCCTGGATCTAGTTTACAGGAAAAAGTAAACCTTGCTCCATGGAAGGGATGTCCTCCCCAACCTTATGCCATCACCATTAGGTGGTAGGTGTTAGCTTGATACCTTTGTGCTACTATATAATATTATGAGCATATTTTCAATTCCTCCATTACTATATGCCATAGGCAAGATGGTTTTGTTCGTTTGTTTCTGTTTGTTTAAGAAATGATGAGAATGCAGCAAGAATAATTCTTGGAGGATAGAAGATCTTAAGAGATTTGAAATGAACAGAAATATGGAAAAAATATCAGGAACTGGAGAGATGGCTCAGTGATTAAGGGCTATTCCTGCTCTTCCAGAGGATCCAAGTTCTGTTCCCAGTACCTACATAGCAGCTCATGGCCTGTATGTAACTTCAACTCCAGGGAATCCAATGCCCTTTTCTGGCCTCCACAGGAACTGGCACACATGTGACTTATGCATACAGACACATACACATAAGAAAAGAATAAATCATACTCACACGCATACACACTAGCAAATAAAAAGAAAAACAAGGCTTCTGTATTTCACCTATTTTTTTTAAATTGTGAAACCAAAAAACAGATATGCACTTTAAAGTTCTTATTTCTGTGAGTAGATGCCTTTGCCTTCCCTGTGATCTGTAACTTACTTCTGTCATGTAGACATAAATGGAGTATTTGTGGGCACCTGAGTAGTGAGTGTTTGGGCCAGGTAAGGAGCCTCTATGAAAGGAACTGTAAAGGCCAATCCATCTTCATTCTTCATGCTCTTCTTGATGATAAATAACGAATGACCTTCTCTTTGGAATGTAAAGCACTGCCTCTTCCTGGTGCTAAGTCCCTGGTTCTCCTCTCTTCTCCTGGCCTCTGATCTAAGAAGCTAACTAGCACTTGATGAAGCTGATCTGTGTCATTATGGGATCCACATTTACTCCATTATTTCGGAATGGAGAATCAAGTGGCTCTCAGTATTTTTTAGAGAAAATATCTGTCACAATTTTGAGGGACAAAAATTACTGCTAAAATAGGTGACTAATAGCAATCTACAATTATCATTGTGGAACAAATAAGTGTCACTTCTGTACTTGTTGAAGCACAAATATTATGTTTTCTCACCTAATACTAACTTCAATTTGTGCACTTCACTAGGGTAAATCAATTATCACTTACCATTAATAAGCAGAGAACTATCGGATCCTGGATATGAATAGTTTAGACGACCTGAAGGTAAAAGAAGGCCGTTACTGATTTTTTTCATAGATGGTTTAAGCTTATTCAATAACAGAGCTGAGTTGATGGCTTCTAATATGCAAAGTATTTACAAATCTTCATTTTGGGACACAGGTTTGTTGTTCTCGGGATGTAGTAAGCACTGATGCACCAAAGTCTGAAGGTGATAATGTCCCCCCTCATATTTAACTACTCATAACATATTAACTATATAACTATTAAGTCATTCTCATTTCCAAGTCACCACCCAATGTACTTTTCATTATACTGTTGTGTTCTGACAACCTATAATAACAATCTTCAAATCTTTGTCCCATAAATATGAAATATTTTCATCTGTGATGGTTGTTCCTTTTTTAAAGGATGCAATTAATCACAGTATTTTCTTATGTGACTTTTTTCTATGAAAAAAAAGCCAGACTTCCGCAGGTAAAGGCATGCTGGCAGGTTTGAATTTGGGTTTTGGGTGGTACACAATGAAAGTAGAGAAGAGAGTTTGTCTGGCTTTTACATTTTAGAAAGAGCTCAAAGCCCTGACACAGACCACAAGCACACTAAGCACTCAATAAGTGCACGGTCATTTGACTTCCAAGTTTGAAATGGTTCATAAATTTTGAAGCTAAAACCACTATTTAAGAGCTACTCCCGAAAAAGAACTTGTGAAAGCACTGAAATTGTTGGATGAACTGTCTTACAAATTCGCAAGGGAAGGCAATGGGATTTCTCTGCCTTTAAGAAATTGTATTTCTGTTTTTTTTTGAAGAGCCTCTACATGAAAAGTGAGCTAACTAGATCACAAATCCTTATTGAATACATATTGTGTACACTCTAAGTTATAAAAAAAATATCACGGAGGCACCATTTTTAAGCCTTCAAATCCTATATGTTCATCTTTACCAAACTTCAGAAAAATGGTGGAGAGCCCTCATCAAGTCTGCTGCTCATCTAAAGAACGGGCAGAAAAGCTGGATTGCCAATTCTCTGAATAGTCAGGAGTAGCAGAATACTATCTATCTGACTCTGAAGCACGGAGATTCCTTTAGAAGTCAGCACTGAATTATTCTGGCCATACAGAGCTGTGAGTCTCATGGGCAATGGAGGAGTAAAGAGGAAGCAGAGTGTCTGCCAAGCCTTCTGGCTGGAGCAGGCCTTCTCTGAATGCCAGCAAGACTGCCCAGTTCACAGAGACTAAGAGCCAGAGCTAATGCGCTCCTATTAAGCCTACATGGAGCACTAACAGACAGCTCTTTGGGAGGGAACTTCAATGTTATAACCTTGTGACTTTGAAAGGAACTTCTTTACAAACACCTCATGTCATGAGAAGAGAGGGCTATCCTTTACTGCCAGAACCTGTAATGAATCCATGCCCCAAACCTGGGGTCCCACAAGGGAAAACCACAACTGACTAAACTTTGCCACTGATTTAAAATCAAATAAAGGGGCTTTCTGAGGTTAAATTAATTGACCTCTTAAGATTTCAGCTTACTGCTATTTATGGAATGAATGGAAGAATGGAGAGAAGGGGAAAAATGAAAACTGATCTTGATATTTCAGTTTCTGCCTAAATACTGGCTTATACTGATATACAGGTCAAGTAGGCAACTCTGGTAAATGCCATTGGAACTGCTTTAAACTACAGCTTGGATTCAATNTTTAAAGAATAGACTTGAGATGCTGGAAACAGGAACATGGCATGAACTGTTTAAAACCTGCAGGGAGTGATCCTCACCTGATTTTACTAATGAAATGTATGTCTAGATTTTGTTGCTATGCAACCCTCTAAGCAAATGAGTTAACAGGAGCTATCAAAACCATTTTCTTTCATCATCATTTTTAAAGATGAATTAAGAAGTCAATACATAAATATAACACTTATATTGGTTAAAATTAAGTTCTGAGAAGCGCTGATTCTAGTAACATTAAAGGTTGAGAAGAGCTGTCTCTGTAGTTCTGTGGATTTGCCTCAATTTCTTTGGTGTTAGCACTGTAGTTGAAGCTGGGGCTGTACCACATGAGCCAGTGTCTCTTATCTTGGGCTAAGAAAGGCTACAAACAACAAAAGAAATCCAAGTGACAGATGGCCACACTGGCTGGTCCAGTTGAACAAAGTTCAGACTCACTAGAAACACAGCTTTTGGGTACTTTCTGAGGACAGAGAAATATTCCAACTTCACAGACACAAAAATTTGGCTCTGCTCAGGTGTGTGCCCCACTTTAAGGTGAGCGACCTTTCACAGATGGTCTGCTCCTTAGTTTTCTGAATATAGCAGCTCTACCCTGCACCCAAGACACAACACGACCCTGGAAGCCAGTGGCAGTGTTCCTAGCTGGAACACTTGAGAGTGACCCTCACCCTCACAGCTTTAGCTTGGCCTCGTGAAAGGTTTACGGTCAGGCAAGCACTAGCTTTAATCATGAGGTCAATACAATACCTGTGTGATATCCTCCAAAACAATCAAGAATTCTTTCTCTCAGTTTTAAAATATCAGCAGTGACATTAAGAGATTTTTTTCTTTTTAAATTTCACAATGTTTTCCCCCAAATTTGTAAATTCTTTCTATAACTAATGAATCTAAAAAGTCATTCATAATTACAGGTAATAATCACTCTCAATTTCTGGAAATCCTCCCAAAACACGCTTCATATTATGTAGAAACTGAATCTGCTATAAGCTATCCCCACTGCCCTTCTGTGGCTTCTGTCTTCTTTGTTCTGTGACTGTCAATATTGGTCATTAACTTCCCTTACCTATTCCATGGTTAAGGTCCTGACTATTCCTTCCATAGATCCACAGTGGGTCTCACTGCCTGTTCCCAGGGAAGGACTGGTTATTGTGTCTCACAAGTACTATTACTTTCAATCTTAGTGTTCAGATAAATGTATAACATGAATCCACAATCACCTACTGATACAGAATCGCAGAGTATTATCCTAAGATTTCTCTGTACTCCACCTATTCATTCTGTCCTTTTATCCAAATTTTGGGTCTTTATGCTAATTTTATAGCTTTTACTTTTCTAGAATATCATATGGCTGAGATCACAGAACCAAGCCTTATCAGATTGGCTTTTTCCAATTACTGGGGACTTATGGTTCTTTTATGTCTTTCCTGGAGCTTGAGAGCTTTTAGTATCACATCATATTATTATATGTTTTTATGGGACTACTAAAGGATATTTTGTTTATTTTTAAGTATAGCAATTATTAGTTAACCTGTTAGAAACATCTATTCTTGGTTCTCACTAAGAATACAAGCTTTCTGAGATTTATCAAATATTTTCAGGGTCATGTTTTTTTTCAAGACACTTTTCCCAAAATGGAAATAATCTTTTTAAATTAGCTCACCAAATCTTACTTCTGGCCACACAGCGACAGTCAGTCTTATGTAATCATTTCAGCTACTGGATACTTCTCTTATCTTTTTTTTAATATATAATAAATGTTCACTGGGACTAAAACTTTTATTTAAAACTTAGATGTCATAAGTTCATTCTACTGAACTTAAAACAACAGTAAGTCACAAATAAAGAATAAAAATAATTGACCTATGTGAATATAAATGTAGTGCAGTGCCTATGATTTTGTTGGGCTGATTTTTTGATAACTCAGCTATCTATGAACATGTGTTGGTATAATTAAGTTCTGAAGGAAAAAGGATGACTAAAATTCAATCCTTTTGCTTTTGCTATTGACTATGATATAAATACAAAAAAACAGTACCTGATCAGCAATCCTAAGGGACATCATCGCCAGAAATGCGATGTGTCTCCGGAGGCAGCTATGGCATTTGGAGCCAGAGTCTAGCACATATCATACGAAAGGCAGAGGCTATATTTGTAGACACGATTCAATCTAGCCAAATATAGGCAACTGATACAGTGTGACTCTGGGAAATACACTACCAAATTCTACAGTTAAAAAAGGTCTGGGCACCGGCTCAACAGGTCCATCCTGGGCATCTATGAGTTGGAAAGAACCACTACTTAGCAAATGATGAACTTAAGAGTTAATAAGAGGACACTGTTCTAAAGAACAGTGTGTATCATGCTCTTTTAGGACTAAGCAAGCTTGTCAAGGAGATAAAAGGCAATGTTCTGGTGTATTAGTAATAAATGCACAGGTTACTTTCATAATTAGAACTTATTTTCCAATGAGAAACCCAGGTATTATTGCCACATATGATTCAGCAGAAAATGCTTAACGTTAGATATCATGCTATGTATGACCTTCTCTTCTTCGGAGTCATCATTTGTGACAAGGTACAAGCTAAGTTACAAAAGAAATAAAGGCTTTGCTGTCTAGAACATAGACAATGTGGTCCTACACAATTCCAAGTAGCATAAAATTCTAAGTTTTTTTTTTAAGCTGGCTCAAGCTAGAATAACATAAGTACTCTAAAAAAACCTTCCATATACACATATGCATACATATTTGTATATGGACACATACCCTGTAGTAGTTGTTTGATTAAGAACATCCCTCTTAACTCTGAGAGTGATTAATTTTATTTAGTTCATGACTAACCGAAGCTATACTGTCACAAGTACTTATTAAAGGTCACATATGGCCTTCACATACTTTTCGTTTTTAACTAATACTGCCAGATTCTTGTAGTAAGAAGGTGCTGTGGACACCTAGAGAACATACAACAAAAGCTAAATACCCATTATAAATTCACCGGTTATGATGCCAGCTGTGTGTTTACATAAATGTAGAACCAATGTCAGTATGACCTAATGCAGTATACTCACTCTGCTCTATGCCTTAGGATAAAAAGACTGCTTAACAATCAAAGTCCATAACCTTACTCGGTTTCCTGATAGATCTTTCGGTCCTGTAACCAACTCTTCATAGCATTTCTATGTAAAATCACAAAGGAAGAACTGGCACTGACGCCAGCTGCAGACTCTTGCTCTTTTCTGAAGACACATTTAAAACCCGCTATATACACACAGAGTTCAGCTAAACAAAAGCCCTCTATGGGATGAATG